GCTGAGAATTATAATGTAATAACTGCAACAAGAAGGGGCACATGGCCCGTTTCTGCAAGGCACCAACACAACAGGCCACCTAGACCTCTAATTCTGGGGTGGGTTGCGCCTGCTTTTGTTGTGGAGAAACCGATCATTTCAAGAGGGACTCCCCGAAGCCACAAAACAGGAGTGATGGAGGTGCGGGAAGGGTTCTAACAATGGGTCATGAGGAGGCAGAGATGGATCCCACTGTGTTTACTGGTACGTTGCTACTAAACAACTCATATGCATGCATACTATTTGATAGTGGTGCAGAGAAAAGCTTCGTCAGCCACCAATTCAAACAATTACTCAAATAGAAACCCCAAACACTAAATGAAACATTCACTATAGAAATGGCTAATGGAAAGACAGAAAGCACTAAAGATATATTTGTAGGATCAACGCTAACTATAAATAACCATTCTTTCCAAATCGACATGATGCCAGTAACGATCAGTAGCTTTGATGTCATCATCGACATGGATTAGTTAAGCCCCCATCATGTCGAAATTATGTATTACAAAAAGACCGTCCGCCTTAACCTACGAAACAATGAAACCCTTTTCATTTATAGCGATAAACGCAACCAAAATTTGCAAATCATCTCTTGCATCAAGGCCCAGAAATATCTACATAAAGAATACAACGCCTTCTTAGCCCATTTCGTCGATAAGAAACAAGAAGTAAAAGACATCAAGGATATTCCCGAGGTCTGTGACTTTCCTGATGTATTTCCAGAAGACCTTCCGGGAATCCCACCTGTACTCCAAGTCGAATTCAAAATCAACTTAATTCCTAGAGCCACTCCTATAGCCAAATCCTCCTACCGCTTAACACCGATTGGAATTCAGGAACTATCCAACCAATTGAACTAACTTTTGAGCAAGGGATTCATCCGACCAAGCTTCTCACCTTGGGGAGCACCGATTTTGTTCGTGGCAGAAATGATGGATATTTCCGCATGTGCATAGACTACCAAGAACTGAACATGTTCGCTATTAAGAATTCCTACCCCTACCTCGAATCGACGACTTATTTGATCAACTGCAAGGTTCAAGCTACTTCTCAAAGATTGATCTAAGGTTAGGGTACCACTAATTACGAATTAAGGAGGAGGATATTCCTAAGATGGAATTCATAACTCGCTACGGTCACTATGAGTTTGTAGTGATGCCCTTCGGCCTGACTAATGCACCAGCAATGTTCATGGGCTTAATGAACAGCGTATGCCGACCTTATCTTGATAAATTCGTGATAGTATTCATCGAAAATATATTAATCTACTCAAGAAGCAAGGAGGAACATAGTTAGCATCTACGACAGGTTTTGGAGACATTAAAGGTAGAAAATCTATACGCAAAATTTTCAATGTGCAAGTTCTGGATTCGAAAGGTAGACTTCTTGGGGCACGTAGTCAATGAAGAAAAGATACACGTGGACCCTTCTAAGGTCAAGACGACTACGAATTAGGCAACACCAAGAATGCCGACGGAGACACGCCAGTTTTTGGGTCTGGATGGCTACTACTGAAGATTCATATAGAGTTTCTCTAAGATCGCAAAGCTGCTTACAACCCTAACACAGAAGGGAGTAACTTTCAGCTGTAGGAAAGAACAAGAAGCCACCTTCTAAACACTTAAACATGCTCTGTGCAGTGCTCCAATATTGTCCCTCCTGAAAGGGACTGAAGACTTCATGGTTTATTGTGATGCATCCAAACAGGGCCTGGGATGTGTGATCATGCAACAAGGAAAGGTCATCGCGTATTCCTCAAGACAACTCAAGACACATGAGGTTAATTACACCATGTACGACCTCGAATTAGGGACAATGGAGTTTTCCCTAAAGATCTAGAGACATTACATATACAAAACTAAATGCACCATCTTCACATATCATAAGAGTCTTCGACACATTCTAAACCAAAAGGAGCTCAGTATGAGGCAACGACAATGGGTTGAATTGCTAAATGACTATGAGTGCGGAATCCGTTATCACCCAAGCAAAGACAACATTGTAGCAGATGCCCTAAGCCGGAAGGAATACTTGGGCTGCTGGGTAAAGTCATTGACTATGACCATCCATTCCCACTTACCCGCACAGATCAACATGACACACCATGAAGCCTTGAAACCCGATAACGTCGCGGGAGAAGCATTGCAGGGAATGTATAAGAACTTTGAATCCAGGGATAACAGAACTCGTTACTTCATGAATCAAGTCTGGACACCGAGATTCGGCAGGTACAGAGACATTGTCATGAATGAGACTCACAAGAAAAAAAATACTTCGTTCATCCCGGTTTAGACAAGATGTACTTGGACCTCAAGAAACTTTATTGGTGGCTGAACATGAAAGCTGAAATTGCTACCTATGTCGGCAAGTGCATGACTTGCGCCAAGGTCAAGGTAGAATACCAGAAGCCCTCAGGTTATTTCCACCAACCGGACATACCCGAGTTGAACTGGGAGCGGATTACCATGGACTTCATAACCACGCTACCCAAGAAAACAGGTGGACTTGACACCATCTGGGTGATCTTTGATAGGTTAACCAAATTTGCACACTTCCTACCAATAAAGGAGATCGACAAGATGGAGAAGTTAACCAGGACGTACATCAGCGAAATCATGCGACTACATGGGGTGCCAATATCTATCATCTCCGACAGAGATAGTAGGTTCACCTCCCGGTTCTTTCAGTCATTGCAAAAGTCCTTGGGAACCAAACTTGACATGAGTACAACTTACCATCCCCAAACAGACGGTCAGAGTGAAAGGATCATTCAGATGTTGGAAGACATGTTGAGGGCTTGTATGATAGACTTTGGTAAAGCATGGGATACCCACTTACCACTCGTCAATTTCTCCTACAATAACAACTATCACACTAGCATCAAGGTTGTGCCATTTGAAAATCTCTATGGTTGCAAGTGCAGATCACCTCTGTGCTGGGCTGAGGTGGGCGACACACAACTAGCAAGGGGGCAAGTACCTAATAGCTCACTCACTGGATTGAAGATCATAAAGGAAACAACAAAGAAGATCGTACAAATCCACAAACGACTAAAGGCATCTCGAGATCGGCAAAAGAGCTATGATGATAAGCGATGAAAACGCTTGGAATTTCAGGTAGGTGACCGCGTTCCATTGAAGCTCTCACTCTGGAAGGGAATGATAAGTTTTGGAAAACATGAAGGCTAAATCCAAGGTATATCAGGCCATTCGACATCCTTGCTAGGATCGGCCCGGTGGCTTACAAGCTACGTCTACCACAGGAACTCAATAACGTATATCCCATATTCCACATGCCTAACCTAAAGAAGTGTCTGTCTGACAAGACTCTTGTGGTCCCACTCGATGAGATTGAGGTTAACTAGTGTCTACACTTCATAGAGGAACCGGTTCAAATTGTGGACATGGAAGTCAAAAGGACGAAACAAAGCCGCATACCGATAGTGAAGGTCCGCTGCAATGCCAAGCGAGGACCCGAATTCACTTGGAGTGGGAATATCAAATGAAATAAAAATACCCACAAATTTTCCACTATCTACAAGAGCCCATCCAAGATGAAAATTTCGGGACGAAATTCCCTCTAGTGGGGGGCTGATGTGACAACTGGAAAATTTCAGAACAAGCAAGGGTTAAATTGTAATAGTGAATAAGTGAATTCACAACGTATTCTGTTGCAATAAAATCTTGAAAGACAAAGAGGTGTCATTTGTGGGATTAAATATAAATATATGTATATATAAATTCTGAAAACCATGATGTAATTAACCTTTAAAAGCCAAATCGTTGGAACATAAAATCATGAACTTGAAACATTATTTTATAGTTTATGGATTACCCCACCAAACAAGGGATTTCGGTTTGCCTCGGCCGAAATAACCTCTTAGTGGGGACTACAAAACCGAAAACACTATAGGAGAATAGTCTAGGGCAGAAATCAACATCGTCCAAAAGCCCTAGGCCGAAATCTCCCCCTTAGGTCGAAATCACATGTGATTTTGGCCAGACTAGGGAATTTCAAGGGGTTTTCGGCCAAATAAAGAAGATAAGAGGGTTTGACTTTATGACTTGATGTAATCCCCTATTTCCCATGCAAATTCGGCAATATCCCAAGCAAGACATCCAATAAATAAGTAAATTACCTAGCATGTAACTAGACAAAAGTCATATAAAATATCCTCCTTGTAATAAACGAAATCACCACACACTACTAGAAAAATAGCGTTTTACGACGCGCAATGCGTGTCATAAAATGCTCAGACGACGCGTAAATGCATGTCAAGGAAGACCCTGTCATAACGAGAGATGACACGCTTTTGCACGCCGTCTATAGACGACGCACATTTACGACTCGCAGTTTTGACACGCAATGCGTATCAAGGAAAGCCCTGTCATAAATGAAGACGACACGCATTTTCATGTCGTAACCTTACAACGCCTGTGTTTATGACGCGCAAGAGTATCAAGGAAGCCTATGTTATAAAGGAAGATGACACACTATTGCGTGTCGTAACATTACGATGTGCCTTTATGACTCACAATGCGTATCATTAAATCTACTGTCATAAACAAAGATGACATGCACTTACATGTCATAAATTGCAGCTGCTAGTGACCTTACATCTTTACGACGTGCATTTATGACACCCATTTACAACTGGATACACATAATAAAAAAAACAAATATATATACCAAAACATTCATTTTCATCTAAACGTCAAACAAGTTACCTAACAACATTACATATATGTTGAATTACCTAAGTTACACTACATGTCAAGTTACCTAAGTAACATTACTAAAAGTTAACATAAACATGTACCCATGGGTGTCAAAAGACTACCTAGCATTACACCACATGTCAAGAGACCATACCTAGCATTTCACTATTAATTATAACATTATTTTGCGGATACATTGTCAAAAGACCATACATATCATCGATAAATGAAGCCCGTAACAAACTATGACCATTCTTTATGTATCTCATCGATATCATCAGTTGTGTACTCAACTTTGCCATCCCCGATCTGTGAAAAAAATTGCATATTGTTTTTATTAATAAAAAATAGCATATTAACATATTCTATAACAGTAAGTTGCTATATTTAACAAATAAGCATAACATGTAAATTATTTTTTCTTAATAGAGCATTATACTTTCAAATAAATGAAAGCACATTGTTATTTTTTCATGTAACCTAATATTTCAATTATAATTGCGAGAGCAGGATGCCATAAAATGATCCTTTTTCAATTCCTTTCCTATTAAAATATCATAATTAAATTAGAATGTTATATCCTTACATTTTCTTTAACCAACACTTCAATTCCTTCTTTCACTATCTCCTTCATGAACCTTAGCATGTAGTAGCCACATTCGCTAGATCCGGGCTGAATTGGACACTAAACAATTACATATAAAATAATCATTGCAATTGATCCAAAAAATAAAGTTAAAACTGCAATTTCAATAAGGAATTAAGTGCTGACCGTAACATTAACCCAATTTAGTTTAGGCCTTTTATTTGATCCACTTTGTGTATCGTATATAACCATTTCCCTATAAAAACATTAACAAATAGGTGTTTATTGGATTCTCATCAAATGCTTTGATAATTTATATTACTTACAAATCAACAATTTGCTTCAACTGCATATTGAAATTGCCAGAAATCAAGGAATCAAGATAATAGCAAGTATCCGATTTCATGACTAGTACACCCAATACCCAATGTATTTTACAAAAACCATAAACAAAATTAAGTCAAATAACATAATTGCAGTCATTTTCAAAATAAAATGTCAAATTCAAACCGAGGATTGTAGGGCCTAAAGATGATGTCATTGCCCTTTCTACTAGACAACCAATCCGCTAAACCTCTACTTGCATTGTCAATATTCTTAGATTTCCCTTTACACGTACTTGGTGAGATTAATGTCGGGTTTACAAAGCAAATTCCATGATCTCTTTCTGAGGGTCCATACTTCATTTTGTTAAACAACACCCTATTATCATATAAACACTAAATTCATTAAATAAATTTTGTTTTAAGACACAATGTTATTTAAATTAAATTTCTTTCACTTACATCATATAAGACACAATGATATCACAAGTCATCTCATCCATTGTAAGAACCGCTTCAAAATCATCCCAAGTTAAGTATGTGTAACTATCGTACCCAAAAAGATCGTTCTCACTCTGCACTTTTATAGAATCAACCTTTGTAACTTGTCCATCAGACATCATTGCAGTCATTTTCAAAAAACTACTCTTCTCAATCCCTATCCTTGTCTTCATCTATGCTCTGATCCACCTTCTTTGCAAGGTCACATTTTGTTTCTCCTTCTTTTTAATCTTCTTTTCTATTCCATTCCCTTTTTCCATGTCATCCCCTTCTTTCACATCACATGGTTCTTTTTGTTCATCAACCATTTTTCCTATTCCCTTTTCTTTCTTATTACTTCCTATTTCTTCTTCTAAAGGTGTTACACCTTCCTTCACTGGTGCTGCATCTTTTTTCACTGGTGTTGCATGTTATTTCACAGGTTTCCCCACCACTTTTCCTTACAAAAATTATCATAAATACAGAATGAAACAGGAATCATTTACTGAAGCTGAAAAAGAACTCACTCAAATATCAGAAAAAATAAGAAAACCAAGGGCAAATCTAAGAAAACTTTATATGTTTTAAATCTGTGAAAATTACCAGGTCAGAGTATCGAATAACTAAGTGTCTTGGCCAATATAGTATGTGTCTCAATGCATCTTTGACCATCACAATGAACTCCTCTTCAAGTGGAATGGGTATTAAAGCTTTTCCTTGTAAAATTGTTTCCATCATAACTTCAATGTTTTCATCTGTTACATAAACGTAAAAAATAATTAAAATCCAATCTTCTAAAAAATGAAAATATATAAATAGTAATAATGCAAAAAAATTTCAAAATACCCGATGCACAATACTTCATTATGGTTCCTTTAGCGACTACATTTGCAGCAAACTCAACCACAAGAAGACATGATTTATCCTACTAAAATATAGTATGTTAGTTTGTAGAAAAAAAAAACACTTTAAATATATTTTTCATAATTGTATTCAAGGACTTACAAGTGATTCACCTCGTGGTTCTTTTTCAGCATCTTCAATAACGCCCCCTACTTGGCAGCTTGCAGTGTGTTAGGAAATGATTTCTCTTCACCACTTATTTTAAACAAAATAAATCACCAAATGAAAACAAAAAATCCCATATTTTTATAACATTATTGATAAAAATACATGAAGATGTTCAACTAATCTCAAAGACAATATGAGAAGGAAACTAGATTCTTATTTTAAAATCACTAAACGAAAAGAAAGGGTATTATCATCATTTTGACTGTTTTTTGTAAATATTCAACTCATTATAAATATGTTTTTTATTTTCAGGAGTTGCACTAGGACCTTGAATGATCTGATAAATGAGCAGCTAGCATATCTTCCAAAAAAAATGGTATTATCGTCATTTTGACTGTTATGCCCCTGAACCTCATTTTAGACATATTTCCAGGTGAGGCTGTCAACTTGTCGAAACTAGTATGCCCCTAAACGTCATTTTAGACATATTTCTAGGGGTATTATCATCATTTTGACTCCTTTTGCAGAACCTCATAGATCTAGCTCGCTCTGAGAGCTCTAAACTTGAAATTAATGGTATTCATAGAATTTTCCTAGTGCAGAGATACAATTGGAAAGAAAGGAAGCCGAACGAGCTGGTTAGTTTTAAATCTTGAAATAATAATAATAATAATAATAATAATAATAATAATAATAAGATCTAAATTAACATTTAATTTGAGTTAAACTTTGGTTTTAAAGGTAATGCTAGTGGTGCATCATCATCATGGTATCCGAATCTTTTTACATAATAAAGATTAAAAATTCAACATGTTTTAATGGGTATTAATGCTATTAAAACAGCATGTCCCAATGGATACTGGTGGGAAGGGTAGAAGTGGTAAAGAAAAGTCAATATATATATATATATATATATATATATATATATATATATATATATATATATATATATATATATATATATATATATATATATATATATATATATATATATATCATAAGTTTTAGTTTTACAAGTTTTACTTACTTGGATTGTTATTTGTGGTGTTAAAGTTATGTTGATTTAGTGATAAGTAATGATACTAAATCATTTGTCAAGTGGATTGCCTATTGTAATAAGCAATGACACCCTAGCTAGGCTTGCTAAAATGGTTATGGCTTTAAAAGAAGATAAGAAGCAGAGGCTAAAGAAGGTATGGCATTTTCCAACTCCTTATGTCTCTCCTTAAATCATATTATGACATGTTTTTCTTTCTATTTTGCAGCTTCAAGAGTTAGTAGCTCATTAAGATTGTTTATTAAGTCTAGAAAAGAAACAGACCTTATTTATAAAACACTTTATCCATATAGACAACATTACCCATTTAACCATACAGAAGTTATCAGGGAAAAAAACCTTGGTGGAAAGTGGTACTACTGGCTTTTTGGGATAGGTAACTACAGTTAAGCTTTTTCTTTAGTTTTTTAAAATTTAAAGCTTTGATTTGCTCCCAAAGTTGCCACCTGTCTCTAGTTCATTTTTTCTCTATCTTTTGATATGTCAATAACCCTTATAGTGTGGTTTTGTTTCTTTACAATTTCCCACTTTACTTCATACCACAATATCTTGTTTTGATCATTGCATCTTTTCTATTTCTCTATGTGTACATCATCTAATACTCATGAAGCTTCTTGTTATTTTATCCATAACGAATTTAGCTTATGTCTAGGTTAGCTGGCTTAGTCTATGACTCTATGTTGAATATTGGCTGAAAATTAACTGATACTGGCTGTAAATTAGCTAATATCATTCTTACTATGAAGTTTGGTAGAAAGCAAAGAAACTTTACTTAAACAATTTCAATCATATATGCACAAATGCAATGTGTCTTTTGATGTCTTTATCTTTTAATGGAATCATACCTTAGACATCTTAAAAGAAACTAGCATAGCCAACTATACTAAACTTATAGTCAGTCAAATGGATTCAAATGGAAAGCTTCTTTCAGATTGGGTGAGCCCTTATCAACCCCATGTAAATCTCATAGGCTTGTTTAGTGTATTGTATTGTTACTATAAAAAATGCTCATGGTCTATAAAGAAATATTTTCTTTATAGATAGAAGCATGGTAAAAAAATTAAGCCATATTTTTTATGTTTCTTGAATTGGTTGTGACAGAGTAGGTTGGCATTGAAACCCGATGGCTTGTTTTTAGCAGTTATTTTTGGTGGAGAAACACTAAAGTTAGTTTTATTTTTTATTATTCTTGCAAAATGGAAGTTTACACAAGACAAAACCATGAAAAGAGAAGCTATAATCGACAATCGGAGGAGAAAACCCAACTAAGTGGAAGCATATACATGAGGAGAAAACCCAACTAAGAGCATCGATTTTCTTGAAATGTTACCTTGTGTTCAACTTGAGAAGCTTCAAAAGGTGAGAAACCCTTGAATGTGTTCGATTTATCATCGATTTCATGGATACCAGGCGCCTCTTCCCCTCATTATGCTCTTGCTCTTCTATCACTTGGTTCTTGCAAATAGAGATGAAAGTTAGTTCTCTGGCCAACAGGGGAAGTTTCAGCAGGAACACCAAGCTCAAGTGACTTGTCCAATACCTTAATCAGACCTCGGGTACGTAATATTGAATAGTCTCCAACGATGGTAGGAGAGCCCAAGCTCGTCGACGATGCGAAGTCAGCCGGAAGAGAAGGAACCTAACATCATCGAAGGAGACGTTGTCTGCAAGGCGAGTTGATGATCGATTGTAGAGAGTGTATTGAGTGATGATCAGTAGTGAGTGTTTTGATTTTTCTTGAAAAGCCCTAGATATTTTAGCAAATACCTTGATTTTTGAAACAAGAGCGCGTCTCATTAAAATTAAAAGGCTACGGTTATAGAGGACGCACGTTTAATGTAAAGCGCCCTCCGTGTTTTTGATTTTTTTTTCTTTAAAACACTAATCTAAGGGCACGCAATAATGCGTGACCTAATTGCTTAAATTTTTTGAAGAGAGGACTCCATTTTAAGGTCACTCCCTTTGCGTAACATAAATCACTGAGTATCGCGGATTGCACGTCGTAAAAGGCTATTTTTCTAGTAGTGCAAAATCCCCATCCATTTCATTTTTCCTTGCTGCAACTTCAAACCCTCTCAAAATAAAGCCAAATCTTCCAAAAAAAAAAAAAATACTTCAAGTGTGTTCTTAAAAAAAAATCCATTTCATCCTATTTACACACATTAAAATGTGTTAAACCCTTAGGATAATACCATTTTCAAGAAGTTCATCAACCTCATCCAAGAATTTAGGCTTGGAAATCTTCTCATCATCACTTCAAACAACCCATAAATCCACTCAACGTGATTTCATCCCCCCCCAACCCCCTCATTTTCAACCTTTTTCATGTTTTAAGGGGAGGGGGTGGGGGTTTCGAAACGGAGCATTTTTGGAGTCTCGTCTTTATCTTTTGTTTAAACTATTGTATATAAACTATGTTTCCAAACAGCTGTAAATATTCATATTTTAATGTAATGGTTGTGTTTACTTTGATTGTTGTGATAATACGAATGACGTCACCCGCCCTCAGATGTTTCCGCCATTGTTTTTCATGACGGTTCGGGGGTGTGACAGTACAATAGGAAACATAATGAAAACCCTAATATACGAGGGTTAACTGAGTTTACTGGTTTGACTTGTTGACTTTATTTGACTTTGACTTGACCAAAAATTGACGGTTGTCACAAGATGTGCTTGACCTTTCAGATGGTCAAGGTTGAGCCCCAGAGACCGCACGACAAGTTGCATCCCTTGGTGGTTCTGGATTCTATTGTGTCTGATAGATATGTCTGATTCACTTCTAGATTTTAGAAGAGGTTCCATGAGGAACTATGTATAAGATGTCACTTTAGCATTACTTATCATCCGCAGACTAGCGGCTAGAGCGAGCGGACCATCCATACACTCGAGGATATGTTGAGAGCCTGTTTTATAGATTGGAACTCCTACCTTCCTCTATCTGAGTTTTCTTACAATAATAACGACTACTCCAGTATCGGTGTGCCGCCATTTGAGCTTCTTTATGGGAGGAAGTGGCATACCCTAGTTTGTTGGGAGGACGTAGGTCACATGGTTATTGGAAACACTGAGGTAGCTCTTCAGAAGACATAGCTTATCTAGCAAATCAGAAAAAAGGTTCTAGACAACTCAAAGTCGGCAAAAGAGTTATGCTGAAAGACGTCGATCCAAGTTGGTGTTCCATGTCGGAGATATGGTTTTATTGAATGTATCACCCTAGAAGTGTGTAATACGCTTCAGGAAGCGGGGCAAGTTGAAACCCCCATATATTGGGTTGTTTCAAGTATTAGAAAGTGTCAGCAAGGTAGCATGTTCATTGGATATAACTGAGGAGCTCAAGGAGATTCACAACACCTTTCATGTTTCTTAACTTTGGAAGTGTGTAGATGATGGTTAAACAATGGTTCCTTTGGAAGATATTCAGGTTGATGATTGCCTGAACTATATTGAGATGCCGATGACATTTTTGGATAGGAAGACGAAGGCCTTGTACAACAATGTGGACCCTTTGGTCACAATTCAGTGGAAGCATAAGAAGGGTTCCGAATGGGCTAAGGACCCTGAGGTAGCTATGTAAGAGCACTACCCTGAGTTATTCATAGCATCAGACATCAGGGACGTAGTAAGATTGAAGTGAGGGAGAATTATAACACTCCAAATATCAGGTAATCTATTTTTTGACCTAAAAGATGAATTATGTTTCATTTAGTCCTTATGTCATGTGTACTTGGGTGTACACATGGCATAACTATTTAAAATGGACACACACTTAAGTAAGTATGCTAGGCATACTCAATGGTATGTTGGGTGTTCGTGGCAGGTGAACAAACCCTAATTTTTAGGTTTTGTGCACAATTAAGCATCCTTATCCCCTAAAAATCCTTTCCTTCATCAGCCTCTATCTCCTAAAAACATCCCTTATAAACCCTAGTTCCTTATGTGTGATTTTGAGCTTCATAGGAGTGTATTCTT